GGGGTCAAATATGTTTAAAACCTTTAAACGACTTCTTCTGAATAACCGAGAGGCCTAGGGTGATGATATTTGGCCAGTAACATGCTGGGATGAAGGGCTACCAAGTTTGTTCAAATAAATTACCTTGATTTATATTCAAGGTCACTGGGGTCAAATATGTTTAAAACCTTTAAACGACTTCTTCTGAATAACCGAGAGGCCTAGGGTGATGATATTTGGCCAGTAACATGCTGGGATGAAGGGCTACCAAGTTTGTTCAAATGAATGACCTTTGCCAATTTTTTCTGAATTACTTTAAACTTTAAGTCAAGACGCTGATATTTTGCCTGTAGCTTTATTTTAGTCCTCTTTTAAGGTTACAATTGTGAGATTAATACCAGGTGAGCGATGCAGGCCCATTGGGCCTCTTGTTTTCTATGTAATTAATTAAGAATTGTGCAAGAAAAATAATAACAGTAACTGTAAAATTTAAATTCCATTTGCACATATTTTTTCTTCTGATAGAATTCTCCACATAAAATGGTGTTTATATTACCGTAAGGATTCCTGTCCAACGACAGGCAAAACAACAGAGAATTCCACTAAACTTGTTCATGCATACAGTAACCTCCCCTTAATTCCGTTTTGGATATAACGTTTGGGGACTAGGACCTGGTAGTAGTATTGACAAGGTAGCTCTGACAGTTAGATTGATGACAACGTAATTAATGTAGGTTAAGGGTGCAAATCCTGGTTTGCCTCATTGAATCTTTCCAATTCCAGTGATCATGAATTTACAGTACATTTCAAGCATATTTTCATTGATCTTCTTTTGTTTTTTTCCCAGATTCACAGACGGTACAGAAGTTGGGAGTGGTGTACTTTATTTACCTGTTTCTGTACTCGGGCCTTGAGTTTACACTAACATTCCTTACACACAACCGACTACAGTACGATAGGTAAGGTCTCCTGTAATAACTTGGTCTCCATATTGTTTGTACAATAGTTCTGAAAAAGCTTAAAATTTTATTCCAATATTCTGAGAAATATTTGCCCAGTCAAATTTTCGCCCTTCGACTGTAAAATCCATTTTCGCCAAATATTAAATGAGCCAGTCTCATTTCATTTCCATGTTTATTATGTTGCTTAGTAATGTTCGCTTTAACGTTAAATTTGCCCTCATTACAGAGAGCAAAACAGGCAAAAATGAAACTGCAGCGAAAATTTCCCAGTTTACAGTATCTACCTAAACACAGTCTCTACACTTGTGTTATAAAAACTTACTTGAGCAACAAAAGTCAACATCTATAAGGTTACAGTTTATTGTCATTTTACTTCATTGATAACTCTGTGTGTATCTGATAACTCTGTGTGTATCTGATAACTCTGTGTGTATCATGATTCCAGTATGCAGCAAGGGAAGATGTTTTTCTTTATTGGAACTGTCATGGCGTTAGTACAAGGTGAGTGGAGTAGGCGTAAAGGGATGTTAACACAGGTTCATTGTGAGAGAGTTTTACCATAAGTTGAGTGTCATATTATAGAACTATTCCTTGTGAATGGTTCAACTTATTACACTTAAACTTGGCTGTTCTTGAATTGTTGGTGGAGGGGTCAACACAGTTACTACCCCTTTCACCCTCGTTTTGGTGGAACGGTCTGTGGAAGACAAGTTTAAAGTTGTTAATATATGAAAATAAATATTTTGCTGGTATTAATAAATTAATAAATCGGGAATCTTGTATTAATGAGTGTGTTTTATATCATCTGTAATGTTATAGTGGCACTGAAATCCATTATCGCCAATGTTTGGCTGTAGCTCTAATTCACAATGGTAGATCATCAACAACCTCTTCTTCAAAACATTTTTTCACAGAATGATGCCTACAATAGCCTATCACAGCTTGCTATATTTTTGTCAATAAAGTTTGAAATGTTTCATTTTCTGTGGTTACCGCTTTTATAAAATTGTTGATTTTCTCTTACTAGGTGGTTATGTTCGGAGAATTAAGTCTGGAAAACAGCTGCGAATTGCCACTGTTGTGAGTACATACTATCGTTGATAATATCTGGTTACAGACTTCTTTGCCCCTAACTCCTGTATGGTTTCTTTAGAGGAAGATGAGAGTGACATCTTGAATGTTTTATATACCCCTAGCTTGACTATACATTAACACTGTAAATGAATATCTGAAGAGGAGTGCAGCAATTTGCATTGGTTCTTTATTGTCAAATATTGTGTAATGAAGCCAACTCTCAATGGTTCTTAACTAGCTATGATTGAGTTCATGGACTAAGTGTTATTGTTTCTTATCTATCGTGTCCTGAAATGACCTTCGCTCTTGATAGGACATTGTACCCTGTACAACCTACCAAATTGTCCATTACTGTGTGTTGTAGGGCATGTCACTGCTGTACCCTGTACAACCTACCAAATTGTCCGTTACTGTGTGTTGTAGGGTATGTCACTGCTGTACCCTGTACAACCTACCAAATTGTCCATTACTGTGTGTTGTAGGGCATGTCACTGCTGTACCCTGTACAACCAACCAAATTGTCCATTACTGTGTGTTGTAGGGTATGTCACTGCTGTACCCTGTACAACCTACCAAAATGTCCATTACTGTGTGTTGTAGGGCATGTCACTTCTGATGCCGGCGTTTGTGATAATGGCATTTGCCCATTCCGCCCCGATGATGTATCTGGCACTCATGCTATTTGCTTTTGGTGAGTTTTGTATTAACCTTATAACTGCCAACTATTTAAAGTATTATTTATTTATAAAGTGACGTGTTGTTTTTTGATGTACAGTAAAATATAGATATGTAACGGGAAAGAGAGTAGTATGCTTCCCCCGGGGATGGCGCCGGCGGCCTCCAGCTTTCCAGTCAGCTGCTCTATCAAATGAGTTAACTCCCTGTCACGACAGAGAGGGCCACGTACACCAATTGTAACAGGACAGAGAGGAGTGTATTTCCACAGGGGATCTTACCCGTAACCCTGAGCTTCCTAGTCCGCCGCTCTACTGATTGAGCTAAAGGGAAATTCCCTCTAGCGCAAAGCTAAAGGGCACCGTAATCTTATGTGGATTAAAATCTTGACCACAGATCAAATGTACCTCATTCCATCTGCCACCTCACTTACTGCCAACATATCACAAGATCCCTTGTTCTCATTTTCTCATCAAATTCTTTATATGTTGTCCTAAGTTAATTGCCAAACCCTTTTATAACGTAAATATCTCTCCAGACAAATAGTGGCAGTAGGCCTATAACAAGATTTTACTGTACTACAAAATGAATTCTTGTCATTAAAATATCACCATTAGAAATCCCCTGTTTGGATCATGTCTTCATAAAACAGACTTTAAAGAAGGTAATATTTAGGAATAGGTTCAATCAGTGTGATTACACTTTGAGGATTCATTAAACCCACTCTCCCAAGGTAAAACTAGAATGAGTTAATTAGGGAAAGTATTAAGTAAAGTGTTTGATACATTGATTTACCCTAAAAACAAAGAAGATCAGACATTTAAAGGTACATGTACTAGTAATTGTGATTTGTATTTCAGCGTCTGCCACAGTGGTGCCCTGTTTAACTACCCTAATCTCCGAGTATGGAGGGAGTGACCAGAAAGGGGTCGTCCTTGGAGTGTTTAGATCTCTAGGGGCTCTCGCCCGGGCCCTTGGACCAGTAGTCTCCTCAGTGGGTGAGTACATACCTTGGGTATATTTGTTTTGTTCATTCTCTTCACTCTAGTAATAAAACACTGTCCTGTCAGCTGATATCCCGAATATGATTTCCATAATAACAAGGTGTTGCTGACCCCCTGTTCTATAGGTTGGTCTTTCTCCCCAGTAATGTGGTAAAGCTGTTTCGTTGTTATCCCTCCACTATTTCATCAAAGCTATTGCATAATTTTCTCACCCTCCCAAGCAATAGCAAAGCTGTTGCATTATTTTCTCTCCCTCCAAAGTAATATCAGGGCTGTTACATTGTTATCTAACCCTCCCCAGTAATATCAAATATGTTGCATTGTTATCTCACCCTCCCCAGTAATATCAAAGCTGTTGCATTGTTATCTCTCCCTCCCCAGCAGACCCAGAGCTGTTACGTTGTTTTTGCTCCTTCCCCTGTTCTAGTATAGCTGTGCTATTGTTACCTTTCCAGTACTATCAAAGCTGTTACATTAGTTTTTCTCCCTCCCTAGTTATATCAGAGCTGTTACATTGTTTTATCTCCCTCCCCAGTTATATCAGAGCTGTTACATTGTTTTTTGCTCCTTCCCCTGTTATAGTATAGCTGTGCTATTGTTGCCTTCCCAGTATTATCAAAGCTGTTAGATCATTTTCTCTCCCTCCCCAGTGTACTGGAGCTGTGGTGATAAGGTATGCTACCTGACCGGAGGAGTACTACTGGTGATACCTTACCTTCTGCTGAGGAAGCTGAAGACACACCAGGCCAAGTCTGACTGAATTCTGATAAAAGCTAGCAGGTGCAGAGCATATCATGTCAACACTTTTAAGCAAAATCAATATTATAATAAATATTCGTTAAGATGTTATTTGTAAATCACTCACAGTAATATCTTTTTTCAAAGATAAATATCGACTGAAGTTAATAGAATTTCCACAGCTTGAGATAAAATAGGCTACATATTGGGTTATTATTTACTTTTGGAGTCTTGAATGGATAAAAACACCAGACATTTTTGTTTCACTTGGGAGAGTTATAGATATACCGTTACATGGATCAGCAGAGTTTTTATAACCATCTTGTATAAATTCCCTATTTGACTGAGTATTAGAAGATCTATAGTTACCATATACAGTAAAACATATTTATAATGAATCCCAGGGACCTACATTATTAGTTCTCTACAGTAAAATATGTTTATACTGAATCCCAGGGGACCCTCAGGGGCCATCGTTACTGTGGTGTTTTACAGTAAAACATGCTTTATTACAAACCTCAAAGGACCTTGGTAATTAGTTCTTTATAGTAAAACTTAATTTACAACGAACTCCAGAGGACTTAATTGTTCACGATTAAAACATGTTTGTTTTGAACTCTAGGGGCGTGGCGGGGGCTTAAGTTATTAGTTCTCAATAGTTAAACAGGGTTTGTAGCGAACCCTACGGGACCAAACTTATTAATTCTCTATATATGTAGGAAGAGTACTAAAACATTGTTTAAAACAAACACCAAGGGAGGTAAGTAAGTAGTTCTCTACTGTTATAAGTAAACACCAAGGGAGGTAAATAAGTAGTTCTCTACTGTTATAAGTAAACACCAAGGGAGGTAGGTAAGTAGTTATCTACTGTTATAAACACCAAGGGAGGTAAGTAAGTAGTTCTCTACTGTTATAAGTGAAAATTCACCATAAATGTGGTCTTAGTTATCATGTTTTACTGTTCTTGGAAGAGGAATATATCAAAACTTTTCATATCCCAGTATCAGTACAAATATAGATTTTAATTATGTTGACTGATTGATTTAAATATTTCATACTTAAAAGAATTAAGGATCCTCTGACATGGTCAGCTATATAAAACCTTTGATTGATTGCTAAGGGACCATTATAAATTTAATTGAGTCTTATTTTCAAACTTGAATGATAGTTTCACCCAAGGGTAGTCCTAAAATAGACTTGATGCTTTAAGAAGCAATGACTATAAATTAACTCATCGACATTAAAACAAAGTATTCATAGTTTATACAATTTATGTGTAAACAATATGAACGTAGAAAAAGTACATATCCTTACCCTGTACCCCCACCTGAAACTGTTTTTCAGATCATTAGATAAAACCATGCATAATTTGATGCATATTCAATTTTATCAGTAGTCTGAATTAACACCAAGTGAAACAATACTGTAATATCTAATCTTGAGTTATTATCAAATCCCCACCAGAAAGAGAAATGCTGCCAGTTATTACATCATTAAAGTAAAAAATGGAATATTACATAGAATTTATAGTAAATTATGTACATGTGATTAGAAAGATGTTACGGAACTAGAAACATAATACATTTTATAAAAAGTTTATAATTTAGGGTTTTACAATATTTTTTTGCACAGTAGTGGCCAATACTGCAGAGGATTATTCAAGAAAATATATGTGGGGAAGAGGTTCGGGCTGGTTGGCAGGGAGGCACTGTGATCCCCACCACCTACAATTCTATTATTATTTTGACCCACCACCCATATACATTTATTATCAATAACAAGTGCCTCCCTCTGCCCCCCCCCCCCCCCCTTTCACCTCCTCATATTAAACATGTGATATAGATAAGCTGTGACATGATTTTGAGTAGAATTACTACAGTAACTGTGAAATACATATCATCAGATATACTGTCTGATATTACACCATTATGGTGACTTATGTTTAATATTTTCTGCTGAAAACAAGTGTCCAGAATTACGCTTCGATGTGCTTTCACGTGTATATTATTATACACCAACACTTGACGTCGTTTTAACTAATTTTGTGTTCAGGTTTTTTTCTCAAATATAGAATTGGGTCACCACTGTTATTCTGTTCCTGTTTGATTCACTACTGATATTGAGGGGACTGGATGTGCTAGAAACTTGGATCATGTTTGTCTTTCATCCCTGATAACTGTTTTTTTTTATGCTTTACATTTACTATATTGGTAAAATGTGTTTAATGCCATGGCTGTTGGTACTTGAGGTTTAGATGTGAACATCAACGATTTTGGAGGTACACCACTCTAGTCATCAAGTTCAGAGATTCGCTGAATGAGATGTGACATTTGATATGATACTTCATTTATTGTTTTTAAACCAAAACTGGCAACATGTGTTCCCCTTAAGTATTTATAATAACTATAGAACCTAACACATACATATGTTATCCTGTGTTTATGAAGTTTTTTAAGAGTTTATCATACTTTACTCATCAAATTTAAGTTAATGATCATTGTATAATAAAATTTACTTTAACAATGAACTGCTTTCATTTGACAGCCATAGGCTATAGGCAGCTAGACGAAGTAAAATTCATTGAAGTGTGCTAGCGCTTCATGTTGGATTTGCCTTTGTCCTGTTGGGATTCATATTGCCTATGAATGCAAACTGAAAGCAGTTCAATACTTCTATTTCCCTTTTTGGATTTTTTTTATCTGATAGAAAATTAAATTACATTTATCGATATTCAGCATTTAGTTCAAATTTTATATCAATTGTTTATGCTTGTTCAATAAATAGAAAGGAAACTCTCCAGGGAGGCTCAGTGGTATCCGACGTAACAATCATGACATCAAAATAATGATAATGTCAGCAATCAACTCATGGCTTTCATAGTCTGTATGAATGCCATCTGACTGTGGTTGGTTATGTACTGTAAACGTACATATTTTAGCGGACTCAGATTTAAAGAGTGAAAGAGTGCTAAAATTAGAATGCTGCTAACATATGTATGTTTTCAGTAGACAATTATCTTTAATTGCTGCTAAATATTGATGTTCTATATGATCTGGGAACATAACCAGTATTTAAAATTAATTCAAGTTGACATGTATTAGTATTCTACTTTTTACACAGAAAGATCTCAGTGAAAGAACGGAGTTTACTATGCTGTATTGTATTGTAATACTGTATTTATCATTGTCTGTATGAAACATCCTTATGACCCAACAGTATTCCTCAATATAATTCTCTTACACTTCCATTAATGTCTCATTCTTTAACAAAATGTTTTATATCTGTATAAAAGCTACTGACTTTACCAGGTATTTGTTAAATCTGTTTATATACGAACTCCTATATGGAAACATATAATATATACAGCTATATTTATGACATTTATAAAACAAACATGACAGTTATCAATAATCAGTGCTATATAATACAGCCCAGATTTGTGTGTGATATTGAGCTAAGATGTCCATTGAGCTAAGATGTCCATATCAGTTAAATAAAATGTACTTCAAGATTAGTTCTGTTGTCAGCTGAAACATCTCAAGAGTAGCTTATGTAATTATTTTTTTAAAGAATATTCAAAGTGAATGTTTTGTTATATGTTTGACATACTCCATCACAGAATTGAGATGTTTTACTGATAGTAGTGAAATGTTTGTAGATAGTACAAATATATATGTTAATCAAGATTTTCTATTTTTGGTATCAGATGTTCTTGTATAAAACTGTTCATTGGAGAGTATAGAATACATGTTATAATATGGTATGAAGCACTGTTTTACTATTTATTACTTACTAAGTACGATATATTTATGTACATAACTAATGTTGCTATACAAGATGAATAGCTTGATTTCTGGATACATGAATCAATTGTTAAAATTATAAAAAATATTCAAATAAACAATATTTGATATAAAGTAATTACAAATTTATAATTTTTTGAAACGATAAATGATAAAACAGTGCCTTATATGTGTAAGCATGAAAGTGAAAGATAATTGTGAAAGACAATTTTATTTGCTTCAGTTTCACCTGTAAAGACAAATTAATAATTCTCACAGATTTATTTTAGGATAAATGATTTTTACTATGTCACTATAGGCACAGACACTTTATCACGACTGGCAATAACTGTTGAGGTTATATTTAACTTTACATATTGTACCTGTAGTTTGCATTAGCTATCTTCATGGAGGATGTATACTACATGGCACAATATTTCAGTGATTTGTACTAGAGTAATCTCCCTTTATATTATCTCCCCATAGCATTTACAATTCAACGCAACACAATTGTTATCCGAGAGTATTATGGAAGAATGCATTACTGTGTACAATACAACTATCATCAATCGATCAATTGATTTACTAGTTATAAATGATAGTTTTAAGTTGTTCGTGTGAAACTCTTCAGGGATGGGCATAGTTAAAATTTGTTAGTGTGCATTACTCTTTAGGGATGGAGATGGTTTAAAGCCATTATTGTGGAACTCTTCAGCCATGGAGATCGTTTAAAGTTGTAAGGCTGCAACTCATTAGCAAAAGAGATACTGTACCTGTGGAAGTAGGGAAGCATGTGTCCTTAAATTTAAAATAACATGATCCTAGGTTTATTAAATGTAATAACTTGGATTGTCACAAACATTGTACAATTACAGCTTGTCATCCCATATGGAGATATACAGGTATAACAGATATTCAGTTATTGTATCTCAAAAGGTCAAAAAATGACCTCCCTTCGTCTCAAACTATCAACATTATGAAATAGCTATAGTTATTTTGAAGGTAAGGATGTAAGCATGAAAATATTTATTTATGAATTATTTATTTTGGATATTAATGGATACAGACAGTATCACTCTGCCACATCAATACTTAGATTCTGAAGATATTTGTTTTAAAGAACATGCTTTCTGTCTGTGATTTCTATATTTTCAAGCTATTTAATGTTCATGCTGAGGGACTATGTTGGTGCTGGTTACAAGCTGTTAAATATATAAGCATTAAATAGTTGTTTTATATTTTATCTTGCGCTTTTGTCATTTTTGTATGCCCGTACTGAAGGAACTTATAATGGTATGAAATTGATATCTCCATCCATTTTCATGAGCTGAGAATAACTTCAAATTCTAAACTGATACATGTAATATGTGTATCTATTAAGTACCACTGCATAAACAAAGACTATATGAACTCGGCTGATACAACAAATTTATTCACATACATAGTTAAGAAATAAGGTATTGTGATCAAAGAAATTCAAATTCCCACAGCTCTGTCCCCTACACAGACTGACCCCAGAATGACTTAAGTGCAGACCAATGGTCCCCTAGACAGTGACCTCAGAATGACTAAGTGCGGACCAATGGTCTCCTAGGCAGTGACCTCAGAATGACTTAGTGCAGACCAATGGTCTCCTATACAAAGTGACCTCACAATGACTAAGTGCAGACCAATGGCCCCCTACACAGACTGACCCCAGAATGACTAAGTGCAGACCAATGGTCCCCTACACAGACTGACCCCGGAATGACTAAGTGCAGACCAATGGTCCCCTAGACAGTGACCTCAGAATGACTAAGTGCAGACCAATGGTCTCCTAGACAAAGTGACCTCAGAATGACTAAGTGCAGACCAATGGTCTCCTAGACAGTGACCTCAGAATGACTTAGGGCAGACCAATGGTCCCGTACCCAGACTAACCCCATAATGACTAAGTTCAGCCCAATGGTCCCTAGATAGACTGACCCCAGAATGACTAGGTGCAGACCAATGGTACCCTACACAGACTGACACCAGAATGACTAAGTGCAAACCAATGGTCCCCTACACAGCCTGACCCCAGAATGACTGAGTGCAGACCAATGGGCCCTAGACAGACTGACCTCAGAATGACTTAGGGCAGACCAATGGTCTGCTAGACAAAGTGACCTCAGAATGACTAAGTGCAGACCAATGGTCCCCTACACAGACTGACCCCATAATGACTAAGTTCAGACCAATGGTCCCTAGACAGACTGACCCCAGAATGACTAAGTGAAGACCAATGGTCCCCTACACAGACTGACCCCATAATGACCAAGTTCAGACCAATGGTCCCTAGACAGACTGACCCCAGAATGACTAAGTTCAGACCAATGGTCCCCTAGACAGAATGACTAAGTGCAGTCCAATGGTCCCCTACACAGACTGACCCCAGAATGGCTAAGTGCAGACCAATGGTCCCCTACACAGACTGACCTCAGAATGACTAAGTGCAGACCAATGGTCCCTTAGACAGACTGACCCCAGAATGACTAAGTGCAGATCAATGGTCCCCTACACAGACTGACCCCATAATGACTAAGGTCAGACCAATGGTCCCTAGACAGACTGACCCCAGAATGACTAAGAGCAGACCAATGGTCCCTAGACAGACTGACCTCAGAATGACTTAAGTGCAGACCAATGGTCCCCTACATAGACTGACCCCACAATGACTAAGTGCAGACCAATGGTCCCTTAGACAGACTGACCCCAGAATGACTAAGTGCAGACCACCAATGGTCCCTAGACAGACTGACCCCAGAATGACTAAGGGCAGACCAATGGTCCCCTAGACAGAATGACTTAGTGCAGACCAATGGTCCCTACACAGACTGACACCAGAATGACTAAGTGCAGACCAATGGTCCCCTTCACAGACTGACCCCATAATGACTAAGTTCAGACCAATGGTCCCTAGATAGACTGACCCCAGAATGACTAAGTGCAGACCAATGTTCCCCTACACAGACTGACCCCATAATGACTAAGGTCAGACCAATGGTCCCTAGACAGACTGACCCCAGAATGACTAAGAGCAGACCAATGGTCCCTAGACAGACTGACCTCAGAATGACTAAGTGCAGACCAATGGTCCCTTAGACAGACTGACCCCAGAATGACTAAGTGCAGACCAATGGGCCCCTAGACAGACTGACCCCAGAATGACTAAGTGCAGACCACCAATGGTCCCTAGACAGACTGACCCCAGAATGACTAAGTTCAGACCAATGGTCCCCTAGACAGAATGACTAAGTGCAGTCCAATGGTCCCCTACACAGACTGACCCCATAATGACTAAGGTCAGACCAATGGTCCCTAGACAGACTGACCCCAGAATGACTAAGTTCAGACCAATGGTCCCCTAGACAGAATGACTAAGTGCAGTCCAATGGTCCCCTACACAGACTGACCCCAGAATGACTCAGTGCAGACCAATGGTCCCCTAGACAGACTGACACCAGAATGACTAAGCGCAGACCAATGGTCCCCTACACAGACTGACCCCGAATGACTAAGTGCAGACCAATGGTCCCTAGACAGACCGACCCCAGAATGACTAAGTGCAGACCAATGGTCCTCTACACAGACTGACCCCATAATGACTAAGTTCAGCCCAATGGTCCCTAGACAGACTGACCCCAGAATGACTAAGAGCAGACCAATGGTCCCTAGACAGACTGACCTCAGAATGACTAAGTGCAGACCAATGGTCCCTTAGACAGACTGACCCCAGAATGACTAAGTGCAGACCAATGGTCCCCTAGACAGACTGACTCCAGAATGACTTAGTGCAGACTAATGGTCTCCTACACAGACTGACCTCAGAATGACTAAGTGCAGACCAATGGTCCCCTAGACAGACTGACCCCAGAATGACTAAGTGCAGACCAATGGTCCCCTACATAGACTGACCCCAGAATGACTAAGTGCAGACCAATGGTCCCTTAGACAGACTGACCCCAGAATGACTAAGTGCAGACCAATGGTCCCCTAGACAGACTGACCTCAGAATGACTAAGTGCAGACCAATGGTCCCCTAGACAGAATGACTAAATGCAGACAATGGTCCCCTAGACAGACTGACCTCAGAATGACTAAGTGCAGACAATGTTCCCCTAGACAGACTGACCCCAGAATGACTTAAGTGCAGACCAATGGTCCCCTACACATACTGACCCCAGAATGACTAAGTGCAGACCAATGGTCCCCTACACAGACTGACCCCAGAATGACTAAGTGCAGTCCAATGGTCTCCAAGAAAGACTGACCTCCCAATGATCAAGTGTAGATCAATAGTCCCCAAGACAGAGTGACCTCAGAATGACTAACTGCAAACCATTGGCCCCCTCCAGTAGTGCTGTTGGAGGACTTAAATATATATTTTGAGAACACTTAACCTTGTTTTTACCTCTGTACACCAAAATTTACTATTAATATTCACTTAAAGTATATCACTCTTCCAGATTGTTTGAATAATATTGTTCGACTGGTCTAGGTCAAGAGCTACAGGTAAACATGATATATTTCAGACAGTTTGAGATTCCAATACCAGTCTTGCATTGCATTTTGAAATGCAGTGTAACTGGACTGAAGTGCTAACTGATGGCAAGAGTTCAGTAGGTAGACTACATGTAGTGTTAAGAGAGTCCCAGCCATGCAATCAAAGTTCAATTCTTTTTACTTTCCATCTCTCGTTACACACTTTAAGTAAAGTCTGTCCACTGGACAAATAAGAAATACAAGTAGCTTTTTTAAAGTTTTATTCAAGTTTTGATGGATGGTTACACCCGACTTTTCTGTATACAACATTGGGTACCACAGTTTACGTACATATCAGTTGGGAGATGTAAACAAAGGGAGGTAACAAGGTTGAGCTGTAATGGAAGGGAGATAACTAGATAAAGCTGTACATGCAAGGGAGATAATTAGATACAGAATGAACAAGGAGGGGAGATTAACAAGATACAGGGCCATTTTCTTTTAAATGGTTTAACCGGTCGGACCACAGTTGTTTGTTTATCAAATAATAATCTGATACTGCTTTCATGCGAGCCTTGACAAAGCCTTGCAAGGCCTGCATTAACATTTGCAGGTCCGCCAGGATTAATACCCAAAATTGTTACATTTATAAATGGACAAACCGGTTGTTCAGTATAAAGGAACAGGCCCCAGCTGTACATTGAAGGGAGACAACTTCGTAGTAATTTACATGATTTGCATGTAGAGGTTAACTGATGTAACATCTATGCTTAGATTTTCATACATTTCAAATTTTATGACAGAAGCATACATTCCTCTTACCAGTGTAAGACATCAGACTACAGCGTGAATCAAAATGCGTATTCCTGCAACAAGTGATTGATAGTGAATTTGAAGAAAGCACCTGACTTTTGGGACTGTAAAACAATGCTGTTCTTACTGTTAACTTATAATTCAAGCAATACTTCATTTATTTTTTTAAATTAAATGTTAAAATGTCTTTATTAGATGAAAAAAACCGTAACCGAAACTGCATTTAAACACACTTTCACACTTTCCATATTTTTATACTTTTGTCTCACAAACTAGTAAATATGAGTTACATCCTTTTTCCAAAGATCTCTTTCACAATTAAACCTTGTTGTTGTGCCACCATATTTCCAGACAAAGTTTGTGGATTTGGCAATACATTGTATATCAAAGGAAATGTGATTTTTCAGAACAAAAGCAAGAGGGACTTGGAAATACATATATTTATAAATTAGATGAAAAAGATACTGATACAGTCCCAGGTACACAGATGATGCTGGGGCAAATCAAGAATTTAGCAGGGATTGGTGGGAATTGCAAAAACTGAATATATTTTTTTTTTTTATATTTTCCGATATATTTTGACAGTCCTATTAGGTAGGCACAGAATTAGCTTCAAAGAAAAATTCCTTACAAAATACTAAAACCAAGCAGCAAGTCTAAATCAACTTCAGCTAATTTCAGGGCAACTGCACAGCCATGCTTCTAGATTACCATATGGTATACACTGTCAATACTATGTTGATTGACATATGGTATACACTGTCAATACTATGTTGATTGACATATTGTATACATCGTTGAGACTATGTTGATTGACATATTGTATACATCGTTAAGACTATGTTGTCACACAATATTTTGAGAGTGATGACACCCCATTCCCTACCTCATTCCCACCAACAGATAGTATATGATACTATGCGTACACTGAATGAATAAACTGAAAATGTTATGCATTGATTCTGCAATTTTAAATAAAATAGATTTCCATAAATGAATAAATACAACTATTGTAAATGTTGACAACATAATCTAATGCGTGTGGAAATAATGTGAGAGGGCAACAAAACAGAACTTTTACAAAGCAGTAATATTTGTTATTTATTGCATGGAAAGAGCCAGGACTGATATGGAAACTAATCAAATATCAACCCAAGGATATATAAATATTTATCCTAAACAAGACTTCAGTTCTGCATATAAAAGACAATGTAGAATTTGTACAGTCAAACCAGCCCTGGTGACCACCTCTATTAATAGATAACCTAGCCTGTTTTCATTTATTGCCATCCAAACTGAACCGATTTGACCAAAGTTGTTCGTTTATGAAATAAGTTCGGACTCAGTAATCTGATGCTGTTTTCAGGCCAGCCTTGACCAAGCCTTGCAAGGCCTGCATACAATTTTGCAGGTCTGCCAGGATTTAAACCTGAAGATGTTATGTTTAAAACGGACAAACCAATTGTTCCACATAAACGAACAGGCCCCAGTATTATGAGACCATTTTAATGTTTTCCAATGTAGTGATGGAGACCACCTGCTTTTAGAGAACACTTTTTGGACTTCCCATGGGTGGTCTCCTAATACAGGTTTTAGTGGTTTGTTTATGTTACACTATAGACACTTAAAGTGTCTTGTCTATGTAATCCTGAATGTGAAATGCCCCCTATCACAGATGTGATAGTTTTCTATGATACAAACTTTGATGTAGATGATTATAGGAGATACATTCATACACTGCAGCTTCACAAATTCCCTGTATCCAATATACAAGAAACTGGAAATCAGTCCAAACTGTATTCCATAGACATTTCACAGATTTCCATACCAACAGATATACTTCTCACTCATTCTGGAGGGATATGCATTTAAATAAAAAAGTCCATACAAAAGAAATCTCATAATAAATATTAATAATATTTCAATGTTAAATAACACATATTCTAGTATATTCACCAAAATATCTTTAACACACATAAAAAGCTCCTTGGTAAATACACCAGTGTGCAAACCACTGACTTGAAATCCCACATTATACAGTCAAATACTGAATATCTGTATTAAAGCCAATTATCTGAAGTCACAGTTATTCAAACCTCGGTCTTGTCTACCGATTAGTAGATTGCTTTAATACTATGCGACAGGTTATCCAGACCATTTATATATCTGTTTTGTTTGGATAATCATCTCTCTACTGTAAAGTGAAAAATTTAATTTCTCAGTTTCTTTCTTACTGGTACATTCCTTGTTACTCTAACTAGTCATTAAACATCACATAAGCCTACATTTAAATATATACAGTTGTGTATGACAAGTATAGAACAAGCTTCATTTTAAACCAATAGAAAAACCCAAAGATATATCAATAAATATTGGTACACCAATGATATACCACATGGTGAATTTACAATTTATTATGATATTTACACCCATTTCATTACATACACAAGTATATCTATTAAGATGCACCTATTACATGTACATTTAAAAACAGCATCTATACCTATAACAGTGTTGTATTGATCTGGTTTACACAAAGAAACATGGGACTGAGGTCCAGGTAAACAGGGACTACAAGTTGACTAGTTAATGCTTTACTAAATGTTCTAAAGGGACAATCTACCTACCAGACTTAGACTTAACGTTCTAAAGTGACCCACCAGCTAAACTTGGTATGTTGTAAAGTGACTCTCCAGTTAGACTAAATAAATGGAAACTCTAGCAGGATGCAAGATTTCATGTACTAGAATGAACCTTTTTACTTGAATAAATCAAGTCTTAAAATTCATCATTGAAGCAACAGATTCACATTTATTTTCAGACTGAAAATGTAGCGAAAGTGTATCCTCAGAGAAACACATAACCAGGTACTTGCGATACAGCATACCATATGAAGATTTTAAGAAATACAGAAAAATAGCATAAAATGGTGTTCATGACAAAGAGACTGTCATGGAATAAACATATGGCAGCCTAGGTTCAGTTTTTCAAAGCACTGTTAACTTCAAAAGCTGTTCAGTCAAATTTCCAATCTGCATTATAATTAAACAAACTGAAATCTGTTTAAATGTTTCATTTTTTCCCTATTTTATAATCACTTAAAAACCTGACACATGGAGTTTTCACAATAAATTTCAATATTGATGAAAATATTTGACAATGGAAATTTTAATCAGCATCATATATGCCTAATACAGCACTTCAAACCACCAGGCCACTAGAGCAGGCCTCAACACCAAGCAAGACAATTCTGCACTGAAAATAAATTACTAATGGTTAACATTTATAAGATTATAGGGTGTATCTATTACATCTCGTATCGAATGTACATTGATAAATTTAGTACCAAATCTATAAATACATTATATATATTAATACATCTATATTTACACTATTTTGGCAAATCACAATATTGTATATACAGTACAGTCTTACATTCCAACCCTAATTTCTGCACCAAGCTTATACTGGATAACACAATACTCCAGACATAAGCCTATACATGCATATAGAAGTTGATTTTATTTGGCTCTATGTTCACTTTAAAATCATGAATATGTATTAGCGTTGAACCTCATATTAAGGAGTTCTTAACCAAACACATAATTTGCTCAAATGTCAAATTTTGTTTGCTGTATTACTGTAAAAGTTTCAAGTCTTTGCTATAAACAGGAGATCATTTTATTTTAAATCACACTAATTGCTGATAAAATGACTTGGAATAGGAATATGTAAACATACAGATAAACTTAGCTGTAACATGATGCATTGGTTTGTACATATCAAACAGGAATTTTTCTAACCTATTTACAACCAGTATTCCCCATTTCCCTCACAGAATATAAAATTTCCCTTTCAGAATATAACTGACATTTCCCTTATTTGCATTAGGTTTTTCCTATGTTTGGAACATAAGTCATCAAACTGTAGTATTTACTTTTCAAATGCCCTGAATTACACCAGCTGTGTACAACACAGCCAGCGACCAATTACATCACAGCCTATAAAGTCATCTTCATCACCTCAGTACAGTACGGCCAGCAACCAACCGTTTGTAAATCCTAGGATTTATTATGAAACATTTAGTCTTAGGTCATGTTGAATATGGCAGCACAGAGTGACGGAATGTCAAGGTCATACAATCACAAGGTCACTACTCCGACATGGCCACCACGTCCTGTAACACATCATGCTGTTTGACGGTCAGATAATGATTAGTGGTCTTCCTTACGTCAAGTACAATTGACCGCACCTACAAAGAATGATATTCAAGTCAACATCTATTAATGGAAAAAGAAGGTTCATAGTCACTTGAATTTCATTTATTATTTACTGTATTTAACATAAAAGAGAGGGAAGTCAGTGCTTTATTTTCAAATGATATAGAGTACAAGTGAAACAAAACTTAAATTAAATGTGTAACTTTTCAATTCATTTGCTTGAAATATTTCTCTACCATAACATGTATGTTTTCCTGGTGGTATGTAAGCTCCTTTTACAGTGTTCTCCAACTTCTAGGTATTCATTATGCCAAGCTCTTAATGATGGTTGTGAATTTATATCCATTTTCTATATCTCATGAATGGACACTACCTATCTAAATAACACTGTGTGATAAATGTACTAAGGACCACACAACAATCTGAATAGGACATCCTTCAAGCTTCACCTCCAGTGATAACTGTTGCCAGTTTAACCTAAAAGACTTAAATTGTCAGTGAAATGTAAATAAATACATTTTTTTTCTTAAAATGGGTCCCTCAATAATATCACTAATCACTATTTTCACAGTCTTTATTGGAATTTATTTAGCATAAGATATTCTATGCCATAAAAGTCAGCTAAGCTGTTACACTGAATATGCCAATTGTTCTTTGCAAATCTTACCAGTTGTGTAAAGAAGGCATTTTCCCTTGGTTTTTCCGTATAGCGCTCAAACTGGTCGAGACTGTCTTGTAGTTTTAATGTCAGAGAGTCGTAGTTACTCTTCACTACCTCCAGAACCTGTAGCACAAATAAAGGTGTAACAACTATACCTGTTGTAGTTACAATAACATCAACGAAGTAGTATTTAGTAAACTAGAAAATGTCTGTAAGACATAAATGGACAGGACAGGAGGCGGGACAGGACGGGACGGGACGGACATGGGCAACACTGTATGCCCCCCAATTTATGTCGGGGGCATAATAAATTATAACCTATCTAACCGATTCAAAACCTTCAAATAGTTGTGTACACAAACCCTCAGAAAGGTCAAGAGTATACAAGCTTGTGTAAATAGAAGTTTAGAATTCAATCTGCATATTCCAACAAGAAATAAAATGATATGATATGTTACTGTATAGTTAATTAAAATAAGCCACAGGTAAAGAAAAACTAGACCTTTAAATACAAGGTATTCCAAATACCAATGAAAATCATAGTTACCTGTTCTTCTGTCAGAGAAGCGAGCTGATTATCAGCGGCCCACGCATCTACCTTCGGAGTAAAGTGGTTGATAATCGCTCTGAAATGCAGATCAAAGTTTAGGGTACAGATGTATGAGGGGTAGTCAGGAAAGTATCTTGACCAGAAATGTTTGTCGATACATTGTATTTATGTAATAAGGTAGCAGTATACAGTAGAAATGGCCCGACTCTGATAAACAAGGCACATGTCAAGGAAATGTAAACACAGCGGATTTACCCTACACAACACATGTATACATGTATATATATTTGTAAACTGCATTACATTTACAATACATATATAAAGTACTGAGAAGTGTATAAACCTCTTTTTTCTCTGTATGTCACTTGTGTGAAAACCATGGTTTCCACATCAAAAATTACCAAAAAATGCCAAAAATTGTTATATTTAACCCAAAATTTGACCCCCGCAACTAGTAATTTTTTTCCTAAGCTCTGTCTGAAATTAAAGATTACCTACCTGGTTGCAGAATTATCTGGGTCCCAGTAAAGTTGTAAAACTTGATTTTTTGCAATTTTGCGTCGTGTGCTGTTGTCAAAATTTTACCTCCTGTAAAGCTAGCTTTTCATGTGTACGCACCCGTTCGGATTATGGCCAAAATTTTATTCTCGAACCAAAAAAATCTTCTTTCTTTTTTACAAATGTGAGGCTCACATAGCCCACTATATCATGCTTATACCAATTTTAGTACAGTTTTATTTTTATAATTTTTTTACATATCATTATACAGGGGTTAGCCATTTAACAAAAATATCACCCATGGCCACAACCCTCTACTGTATACTGCTACCTAAAACGTGTCCAAGTGCCAGATCTCTAAACCAGGTGTTTAAATAAAACATTTTTTCATTACAAATCAAGTGTTCCAGTTGTTAATAAAGTTAGTGTATAAAGATATATATAACTGCTAGTTGTACCTGATATTTAGGAGATGGTTTGTCAGTCTGGCAGCAAGATCCTTACTGTCCCCTCCCTCACTCGTTGTGTACCGCAATGCTGAAACACACAAGTAAAATTGTTGACATGGGTTCAAATAAACTGTTTTCCTTCCTCACTTCAGTTTAAAAAAACGTTTTCCTTTCAGATCAATGTTCTGAAATTTGAAACTTTTTTTTTTATTTATAAATGTTTGCAATATGACAAATTAATTATAACAGTTCAGGGCAAACATCACCTGCCTGGATCCTGTATTACCATCTCCTTGCCAATATCACCTGCCTGGATCCTGTATTACCCTCTCCTAGCCTATATTACCTGCCTGGACTCTGTGTTACCCTCTCCTTGCCCATATTACCTGCCTGGATCCTGTATTACCATCTCCTTGCCTATATTACCTGCCTGGATCCTGTATAACCCTCTCCATGCCTATGTTACCTGCCTGGATTCTGTATACCCCTCTCCTTGCCCATATTACCTGTCTGGATTCTGTGCTACCTTCTCCTTGCCCATATTACCTGTCTGGACTCTGTGTTACCTTCTCCTTGCCCATATTACCTGCCTGGATTCTGTGTTACCTTCTCCTTGCCCACATTACCTGTCTGGATTCTGTGTTACCCTCTCCTTTCCCATACTACCTGTCTGGATTCTATATTACCCGCCTGGTTCCTGTATAACCCTCTCCTTGCCCATATTACCTGTCTGGATTCCGTGTTACCTTCTCCTTGCCCATATTACCTGCCTGGATTCTGTGTTACCTTCTCCTTGCCCACATTACCTGTCTGGATTCTGTGTTACCCTCTCCTTCCCCATATTACCTGTCTGGATTCTTTGTTACCTTCTCCTTGCCCATATTACCTGCCTGGATTCTGTGTTACCTTCTCCTTGCCCACATTACCTGTCTGGATTCTGTGTTACCCTCTCCTTGCCCATATGGGGGGTCTGGATTCTGTGTTACCTTCTGCTTGCCCATATTACCTGTCTGGATTCTGTGCTACCTTCTCCTTGCCCATATTACCTGTCTAGATTCTGTGTTACCTTCTCCTTGCCCATACTACCTGTCTGGATTCTGTGTTACCTTCTCCCTGCCCATATTACCTGTCTGGATTCTGTGTCACCTTCTCCTTGCCCATATTACCTGTCTGAATTCTGTGTTACCTTCTCCTTGCCCATATTCCCTGTCTGGATTCTGTGTTACCCTCTCCTTTCCCATACTACCTGTCTGGATTCTATATTACCCGCCTGGTTCCTGTATAACCCTCTCCTTGCCCATATTACCTGTCTGGATTCTATATTACCCGACTGGTTCCTGTATAACCCTCTCCTTGCCCATATTACCTGTCTGGATTCCGTGTTACCTTCTCCTTGCCCATATTACCTGGCTGGATTCTGTGTTACCTTCTCCTTGCCCGTATTACCTGTCTGGATTCTGTGTTACCTTGTCCTTGCCCATATTACCTGTCTGGATTCTTTGTTACCTTCTCCTTGCCCATATTACCTGTTTGGATTCTGTGTTACCTTCTCCTTGCCCATAATACCTGTCTGGATTCTGTGTTACCTTCTCCCTGCCCATATTACCTGTCTGGATTCTGTGTTACCCTCTCCTTGCCCATATTACCTGTCTGGATTCTATATTACCCGCCTGGTTCCTGTATAACCCTCTCCTTGCCCATATTACCTGCTTATCTTATCTCTTCAATCATCTTTCTACTTACCCATAGAGTATAGATTGTCAAACACCTGATGCATTCTCACTATCTCATAGTAGAGCTCATCGTAACTTGAAGGGTTTGGCAGAAACGTGTCTCCATATGTAATGAACAAGTTGAAAATATTCACCACCTGGAAAAAAAAATGTGAAAATATCAGACATATCAAATCTGTTCAAGTTTTGCTCAAGTTTTTACCAGTAAATTATGGCATTGTGGTGGAGACAGCTATGCCCAGTATTTCTTTGTAAGTTATGATTATCTAATCAGCAAAGCCTTTTAGAGTAAAAAACCTTTTTCAAGTCTGCAGACTTTAATGATATTTTGACAGGCAGATTAATCCAGTAAACCCCAATGACATTGACTTGAAGCTGAACAGTACAGGGACCCTACCTTTGATGCTAAATGGAATATGTTTGTGTGTTTCTTCACCAGGAGTGCCTCGTGTGACAGCACAAACTTCAGCAGATTGATCAGAGCTGGAAAACAAAGCCAAATGTCTTAAATCATCAACAAATTAGAGCATAATAAGAGAAAAATACTGATTTTTATGTTTCAATATAATGAATGATTCCTTAAAGTAACAGCAGATACATGCACAAAAATAATTAGTTAGACTGAGAACAAGCATACCTGTCCATAATTCTTTCCAAGGGTACTGAAGTCTCACACGACATTTCTTCTGGTAACACAACACTCTCTGTGTGATACCTAGGCATCGCCTGGGGAAACAAAATAAATATGTACATGTGTTATAACTGGTAGCTCTGGCTTATACTCCACCTCCACACATTCCTCTGGTAACTACAGAAAGATTTATGTATAGAACCCACTTCATAACTGTAAAAACAGTTTTATATCAGTGCTGTGTTGACCGATTTCTTCAGTGTTTTGATTACAAATCCAAGTGTTTCAACACTTATTATATCACTCAAAAGGATTTCCTTACAGTTGGGTTTCAGTATCATGTCAAAGAAATTTGAAGTATACTTCTGTAATTTTATTATACAGAGCATAGAAAATCTGGAATTTTATTATACAGAGCACAGAAAATCTGGAATTTTAACATGTAGAATCACTGAAAATATCTACATTTGTATTACCTACACTTCAAGTCTGCCTATAGCTGAATTTAATTCTCTCATGTAATGTAATATATAACCTATACTTTGTGTCTACCTCAAACTCGGTTAGAGCTTACGGCTCTACCGTAACACATGGTATATATATATATTGGATATTTGTTTCAAACTCACACTTAAAGTGTTATTTTTTGGGAACCAGTAAGAAAAACTTATATTTTTAAACATTTAAAATACTTACAGATACAGTTCTATTGGGAAATTTTTCATCATATGACTCATTGTAAATTCTACCATTAAATCTGGAAAGAACAAATGAAAGTATTTTCATAAAAAAAAATATAATAAAGCATACAGTATTTCAAAACATAATAAAGTAACAAGTGGTAGGCGGTTTTAAAGTACACGAAACATCACTGATTTAGTATTTATTGTAAGGAAATGTTTAGAAATTTTCTGAAGATGATTGTCTATGTAGCTTTTTGTGTATAAATCATTTAATATTCATTTGTAAAACTTAGTGAGAAGATGGTCTTACCTAGAAGTGCACATACTAAGGGTCTGGAAGGAATGCTATTAGCTACTTTCACTTTCCTATGTCTCATAGGCTGAAAAATACAAAAAAAAGCATCTGTGAAAAATGTACATATATTTCACAATATTATGCAAATTTGACAGTACCTATTTGTAAATCTGATTACAAAATGTATCCTTCTAGTAATTTGTTATTGCTGAACAAAAATCTTACATGTCTTCTTAATACATCTTGTTTTTATTAAACAAGAGATCCCAGAGGGATCTTGGCGCCCACCTTTGTACCATCTTCATTAGTTCTTTGTCAGTTCGATCTTTTCTCTTCTTTCCTCTAATCTGTTTGATCGAGTCATGTTAACAGTAAATGCACCTTGAGGTAACTTTTGATCTAAACTTAATACTGATGTGTATGAAAGCCAACCTTCAAAGTGAGTTTGTCATTTCACATATTTACTAGTACAGTACTTAATGTGAAAGAAATAGAATCGATCATTGCAATATGAGAAAGATCTGTTTAGTTCTTCTTTTAATCCATTTTGTTTTTATGATCAGTCTCAAAATATAACATACACAACGAGGGATCAAGGGGAACCTACATTTAAAA